ATGAATGATGATTCACAGTGATATTAAATGAGACATTGAATGAACTCTGATTAAACATGACCTTGTTTAAAGACTTTCACTAAGTGACTCAGAAAGGTGTGATTTCTGGGTTTGTAAACTGAATTTGGCTGTTTAATGTAAATTAACAAGTTATCAAATGAATTTTAACCACACCATTGGATAGTCTAGCAAGTGAGTGGGCTTCTGATGTATGTATCTGAAGATCGACTGGTCAAAAAATACTTTCCAAGTGACTTCTGGTGGACGGTTTCACATCTGATGAGCGAGTGGTGGATTGAGCAAATAATTGATTGATTCAAAAAGAGTGATGTTCTTTGAGCCAATTAAAATTATTCCACTGAAAAATCTGGTTGGTTCCCTACAAGATGGTCATTTAGCATGAACTGTGATCTTTGGCTGAGCTTGGAGCTCTGGCTGGAACTGGGAAAAATGGGAAGTGAAATCACTTTTAACCCTCCCAGGCTCAAAATAAGTTTTGATAAAGGGACGAACAACTAAGTCCTTCAGGAGTACTTCTGAGTTAAAAAATGCTCATGAAATACGTATGTGGATTAACCAGGTGGGTAGGTTTTAACGTTGCAAATCTGCAACGCCTGCCTCCAGAGGGTTAAGCAATGTTTGTTTATAAACTTTGACCAACCAGATCTGATCAATTTGAATAGAGCTCTCAAACACTTCCTTTCCTGAGACGCTTAGAAAGCTTCTTTAATTTAATGTATGAAGTAAATCTGTTAAACATTAACTTGTTAATTCACTGATAGACTCTTCTCATGCATACAAATGTGGAATGACCTACAAAGCACTACAAGAACAGAGGCTTCCTTTTCGACTTTCAAGAAACTCCTGAAGACCCTGCTCTTCAGAGAGCATCTTCTTAACTAGCACCCTCCCTGCACCAGTCCCCCCTCTCTACTGTCCACTCCTTGTTCCCTCCTCTCCATGATTCATCATGCTGCCTCACTGCCACCTACGACTGACTGGAAATTGTTTGTTGTTTTTGTTATTGTTGTTGTTAGCCTCAAGGGCAACATGCCGATTATAACTTGTAAGTCGCTTTGGACAAAAGCGTCTGCTAAAAACAAACATATTAATATGTGAATGTACCTGATAATACATCATTATTAAAACATCAAGTAGACTCATTTAGTGTATTTAGGATCTGAAATAAGTCATGGAATAATAAACATTTATGGTGATTAATTAATTAGTTAAAGCTTGTTTCCAGAGTATTTCTCTCATCCCATGGCACCATCTAGTGGCTGACAAGCATATCAAACAAAAACTCAGTTTCTCCGTTATTTTAAGATGGCGACTAGGGATGAGCGAGTACACCACTATCTGTATCTGTTCAACGAACTAAATTATCTGTATCTGTACTCGGAAGTGGGCGTGGTTTAACCGGAAGTGGGTGTGGTTTACATCAATATATTATTTTAAGTCTGAAATTGGTATGGATTGATCAAAAGTTGATATGTGTGTGGTTTATTTGAAAACTATTTACAGAGCGGCCTCAGAATAGAGATTAAATATTTTTGATCACAATAGTAAAGGAACTATTTCAAAACAAGTGTTTCAATAAAATCAGAACGTTAATATTTAAGTGCATGGATTAATACATCTGAACTCATGCAGTAGGAACTAGGAAATATGAAATACTAGAACCAGACACAACTTTATATATATTTTTGAATTTTAATTTGATTAAACAGATTTTTTTCTTAACGTTCTTGGCATTTTCCCACACAAAGTTAAACAAAACAATGTTGATTGAGGTGTGTGTGTGTGTGTGTGTGTGTGTGTGTGTGTGTGTGTGTGTGTGTGTGTGTGTGTGTGTGTGTGTGTGTGTGTGAGAGAGAGAGAGAGAGAGATAGAGAGGGAGAGAGAGGGAGTTAAATAAAATAGAAAAACCCGACTGGAGCGGAGGTAGAGACACAGCACGTCAGCTCTGTCTTGTCAAATGCACCATGTAAGTTACGAAAAAAGTTACTTTAATATTCAACCGAAAAAGAGGCGAGCTGAAGAAAACCTAGGGAAAACTGAAGAAACGTGAGCAACAGTGAAGCAATCACAGCGAGATTCGTTACTGTGTGTGTGTGCGTGGATGAGCCGGACGGACTGAGCTCCCCGCCGGCTAGAGAGTTTTGTGTGTAGGGAGGGGCGGGCGCTCTATGTGACTGGCCAATCACAGAGCGTGAAGACAGTCAGTTAACCAATGAGGATTTTCCTTCAGCACGATTACAGATATTTACGAGGTTTACTCGTGTCATGCTCGTATTCGTCAAAAATGCTTTATCCCTAATGGCGACTTAACGTTTCTGTTTATATATGTGCTTCTGTAGCCGACAAACTGAGCTAAAACACGCTGTTTTACAAGTATTATTCTCATGTCATGCTGTGTTCTCATATATTTATATTTTAGAGACTTTCTTGTCCGTGAAAAGTTCATCAACTCTGCATCAGCTGAGGTATTCCTTAAATTTGAAGCACGTAAGCGGTAGTCTAACGCTATTGGTTACTTCTGGTCGGCGCTCGGTTTCCGATTGCACGGAGCTCTGCGGGGCAGGGTGCGTGCTTAGGAAAAAAAACAAAAAAAAAAACCCAGACGTATCGCTTACATTTTATCACAGTACATGATAAGATAATCGCTTTTACGGATTTCTGACAAATTTCTGAAAGGGGAAAACTCCGGAAAGCAGCTTTAATTATTAAATCCCTTTAGATAGAACGTTCATTGTTGATAACACAGAATTTGATTATAAACCTGTAGATTGAAAGATATTATTCTATGACACCAAAATAAGAATCATTTCATAAGGAGAGTAAAAGTCTCGATGTCCGTATTAGACCTTAGAGTTGCAGCTTCTTGTAAACTGCGGAGTTTACAAGACGACTCTCCCTTGCCCTGCCTCCAACATGCCTCCATCTAAAAGGCCAGGTTATCCAGAGTTATCTCTGTAGTTATGCTGCTATAGGCTTAGACTGCTGGAGGACATACTGACCACTTTCCACACTTGACTACTTTCTTCTACAACTTGCTCTTTCACTGCATTATTTCCTGCTACTTCAGCTGTTAACTTTATTTTTTCTCTGTTTTTCTCCCCAGAAGAAGCTACAGTGATGTTCTGCTGGGCTGTGGTGCCCTCATGGAGGGGGGCATTGGCTCGAACACTGTTGCTAACCACTTAAAAATGGTAAATGGAGTAGAAAGTGACGCCACCATCAGCGTCAGCTCTGAGGAAGTATGCAGCAGCGAACAAAACTGTCAGCAAGGTAAAGAGAAACCTTTCCTGTGTTTTAAAAAAGAACCAAAAATGGATTTGGAGGGAGAAAGTCAATCAGGGCCCTGGTGGCTTTCTTTAAAAAGCTTACCTGGGCAAGTGCCACTGTTTCTCATTGCTGCCACACCGAAGGCGAAGATGCAGGAGACAGGAGGAGTCCAAGACCCCACTTGACTGATACATTTACACACAAACGCAGTCACACACTCCCACCCTCATACTCACACACAAACACATTCAACCTGAAGACACACAAGAATGTATGTCATACACCCACTCACGCTCCCCATACACACCCTACTCACTCTGGTCCTGGTACTGCTCCACAGAAGGCACAACCATTCCCAGACACCAGAGCTGGTCCCATTCTTACGGCAGTACTGATAAGAAGGCAACCACGCCAAATGCAAAGCAAAGCGACCTACCAGCCCAGATCTCAACTGGACAGCCAGCTCCCACTAGCAAACATGCTCTTTTGGGTTGGGTTAACAACTGTTAAAATGTGCCTAACCAAACCAAAATTCACCAGTAATTACATTTTATTTGCGCAGCACTCATCACAGATAGAAAATCACAAAGTGCTTCACATAGATAACAAAGCATAAAGTCCTAAAATCATAACGAGCTTAAAACTGAAATAGATTAACATCAGAACAACAAAGTCATAAAATTATAAAATATCATAAAACAAATGAAAGATTACAAATTTGAGTTAAAAATATGTACATAACAGATTTAGGTAAAAGCACGTCTAGAAGGTTCTGGTGTGTGGACCTGAGGGCTCGGGTTGGAGCATAAGGCTTTAACAGTTCAGTAATAAAGGAAGAAGCCTAATCATGTAGAGCCCTAAAAGTTATAGTCAGGATTCTAAAATGAACTCAAGTTAATGGGTAACCAGTGCAGAGACATTAGAATAGGAGTGATGTGTGCTCTTCTGTTTGCTCCAGTTAGGAGCCTCGCTGCAGAGTTCTGGACCAACTGAAGGAGGTCAAGGGCTTTTTTGTTAAAACATGTGAAGAGTGTGTTACAGTCATCTAGACGGGAGGAGATGAAGACATGGAGAACCATTTCAAGTTCATGTTTTGACACCAACCTTCACAGTTTGGAGACATTTCTTAAGGGATAAAAACAGTTTAGGACCAATGTTTTTGAGTGGCCTTCAAGAAACATTGATTGGTCAAAAACAACACCCAAATTCATCAAGTTTGACTTGACAGAAGAAGATAAATGACAAAGTTGTTGACTAATCAGGGGAACCATGCTCTCAAGGGTAATGATCAGACATTCATTCTTTTGAGTTTAACTGAGAGAAGCTATCTTCTAGCCAGCTGGTGATAGCTGATAGACACTCTAGTAATTCAGACAGTTTACAGAACTCAGAATCCTTAAAGGAGCAGCACAGCTGAATGTCATCTGCATATAGGTGATAAGAAACATTATGAAAAGAATCAAGTATCTGTCCAAGAGGGTGTATGTACAGTAGAAACAACAGTGGGCCCAAAACAGAGTCTTGGGGTACCCCACAAAACATATCAGTAGAATATGACATGATTTGGGCTATACAGACACTGTAGTTTCTGTTAGAAAGGTACGATCTAAACCAGTCTAGAACACTTCCAGCCGCCACTGGATTTGAGTGAACCAACGCCACATCTTTGTTGGCTCAGAACTTCTCATATAAACAAATACAAAGGAGACAAGTCAGTTTGCTGCAGATTTATTAAGATCTTTAGAAAATTTTCAGTAATGCATTCTGCTAGTTCAACATTTAACATTTTATTCATTTGTTGTTAGCAGTGATACAGCAGGTTGATCCTTTGGATGTCCCAGTAGGAAAACCCATTCCTCTGACCGATTGGGGCGTTGGGGTTGGGGATGGGGGTGATGGTGTCCCTTCCATAGCCGATGGAGAAAGCATCTCTTCCGTACTGCATGATGGAGCTGTAGTCATAGGGAGTGTTCAGGTTGTTGGTGTCTGCTTTGTAGAAGTTGTAAGCACTGCCTGGTGTGATGTTCTGCCAGTTGATCCTGACGTAGTTGTCTCGGTCACTCCTGACCTGCTCGTGCTGGAAGCCCAGAGCGTGGTTCATCTCATGCTGGGCAACTCCAGTGTAGAGGCAGCCAGCCCTGTTGAGAGATAGCTCCTGCACACCTCCCACTTTTCCCAGAGAGGAGTAGCATCCAGCTTTATTCACAATGTAGACATAGTCGCTCTCATAGGTACGAGGGACGTAGCGGATGCAGGTAGAGCGACCAAAGGCATTTGCAGCGCCCTGGATTATCTGTCTCTCATAATAGTTGAAGTCGTTGCTGATGACGTAGGGAACCCTCACTAAGCCATCTGGGCCTTTTCCCCACAGGCATTGGGCGTAGAAACACTTGATGGCATTTCTGTGTTTGGGAACCAACAGGTCTCCCTCAATCAGATCTTCATCAGAAAATTTATTGGCTCTCAGAATCCTGGTGCTGATGTCCACACGTTGTGTTTGTCTATGTTTGACCCCATCATGGACTTTGTCATCATCTTGGTGTCCTTTATTCTCTTGTTCATCATCTAGGTTTCCTTTATTCTTTTGTTCATCATCTTGTTCATCATCTAGGTCTCCTTTATTCTCTTGTTCATCATCTTGTTCTCCTTTATTCTCTTGTTCATCATCTTGGTCTCCTTTATTCTCTTGTTCATCATCTAGGTGTCCTTTATTCTCTTGTTCATCATCTTGTTCTCCTTTATTCTCTTGTTCATCATCTTGTTCATCATCGTGTTCTCCTTTATTCTCTTGTTCATCATCTTGTTCATCATCTAGGTCTCCTTTTTTCTCTTGTTCATCTTCTTGTTCATCATCTTGTTCATCATCTAGGTCTCCTTTATTCTCTTGTTCATCATCTTGTTCATCATCTAGGTCTCCTTTATTCTCTTGTTCATCTTCTTGTTCATCATCTTGGTCATCATCTTGTTCATCATCTTGGTCTCCTTTATTCTCTTGTTCATCTTCTTGTTCATCATCTTGGTCATCATCTTGTTCATCATCTTGTTCATCATCTAGGTGTCCTTTATTCTCTTGTTCATCTTCTTGTTCATCATCTTGTTCATCATCTAGGTGTCCTTTAGTATCTTGTTCATCTTCTTGTTCATCATCTTGGTCATCATCTTGTTCATCATCTTGTTCATCATCTAGGTCTCCTTTATTCTCTTGTTCATCTTCTTGTTCATCATCTTGGTCATCATCTTGTTCATCATCTTGTTCATCATCTTGTTCATCTTCTTGTTCATCATCTTGTTCATCATCTAGGTGTCCTTTATTCTCTTGTTCATCTTCTTGTTCATCATCTTGTTCATCATCTTGTTCATCATCTAGGTGTCCTTTAGTCTCTTGTTCATCTTCTTGTTCATCGTCTTGGTCATCATCTTGTTCATCATCTTGTTCATCATCTTGGTCATCATCTTGTTCATCATCTTGTTCATCTTCTTGTTCATCATCTTGTTCATCATCTTGTTCATCATCTAGGTGTCCTTTAGTCTCTTGTTCATCTTCTTGTTCATCGTCTTGGTCATCATCTTGTTCATCATCTTGTTCATCATCTTGTTCATCTTCTTGTTCATCATCTTGTTCATCATCTAGGTGTCCTTTAGTCTCTTGTTCATCTTCTTGTTCATCGTCTTGGTCATCATCTTGTTCATCATCTTGTTCATCATCTTGTTCATCATCTTGTTCATCTTCTTGTTCATCATCTTGTTCATCATCTAGGTGTCCTTTATTCTCTTGTTCATCTTCTTGTTCATCATCTTGTTCATCATCTAGGTGTCCTTTATTCTCTTGTTCATCTTCTTGTTCATCATCTTGGTCATCATCTTGTTCATCATCTTGTTCATCATCTAGGTGTCCTTTATTATCTTGTTCATCTTCTTGTTCATCATCTTGGTCATCATCTTGTTCATCATCTAGGTCTCCTTTATTCTCTTGTTCATCTTCTTGTTCATCATCTTGGTCATCATCTTGTTCATCATCTAGGTCTCCTTTATTCTCTTGTTCATCATCTTGTTCATCATCTTGTTCATCTTCTTGTTCATCATCTTGGTCATCATCTTGTTCATCATCTAGGTGTCCTTTATTCTCTTGTTCATCATCTTGGTCATCATCTTGTTCATCATCTTGTTCATCTTCTTGTTCATCATCTTGGTCATCATCTTGTTCATCATCTAGGTCTCCTTTATTCTCTTGTTCGTCATCTTGGTCATCGTCTTGTTCATCATCTAGGTGTCCTTTATTCTCTTGTTCATCATCTTGTTCATCATCTTGTTCATCTTCTTGTTCATCTTCTTGTTCATCATCTTGGTCATCATCTAGGTCTCCTTTATTCTCTTGTTCATCTTCTTGTTCATCATCTTGTTCATCATCTAGGTGTCCTTTATTCTCTTGTTCATCATCTTGTTCATCATCTAGGCCTCCTTTAATCTCTCTTTCTCCATCTGGTTTGTCATCTAGGTCTCCTTTATACTCTCTGTCTCTTTCTTCATGGAGAGGAAGAGCATGAGAGAGGCCAAGCAAGAGCAGCAGCAGCAGGCTGGCAGAGGGAGACATCTCTAGGGTCCCTTTGGAGGCTGAGGAGCGTCTGTAGAGCTGCTGAGGAGAAACCCTTGAAGCAGGATGCCTGACTCCAGCCAGTCCAAGGTCTTTATACTGTCCAGTACAGGTGTGTCCGTAGCAGGATTATGGGTTGGGGTCCGCACTTCTGAGACCTAAAACAAACCTCCTTAGGGAGGACTCTGAAGACAAACCTGCTTTGTAAACATGGTTTGTTATGTCTGGCTGTTGAATAGTCTTTAGGAAAAAAGACCTTAAAATAAGCCACAGGTAGGCAACACGGTGAAATGTTCTAAATAATGTTTCTTTAGTTTTTTGAAAGAAATAAACTACACTGGATTGTTTAATTAATGCACAAATGTCTTTGAACAGAACTAGTCAACAATCTGTGTGTCAAATTGTTACAAATAGGACATTTTACTAGCTGACTGTTAGATTTCATTTATGTTACTAGACAGGAGTATATAACAGAAAATATAAAAAACAAGAAGAAAGAAAAATATCTCTAATAATAACACTTATCATTACCAGTAATGGTCATTAATATTTACATGTTTAAAAAGAGCATTGATACAATAATTAGTTAATTAACTCCATTTGCTGCATCCTACAAAAATGTTTCTTATAGCATGGTGTCAATATTTTTACAGCCCAGTCTGCAAATCCCCTTTGCAGCATATTTACATGATTAGATGTACATTAGATCTTTACAATAAATAAACACTAACTACACCCGCTGAATAAAGTTGGTGTTTCAGCACAATGCCCTCTTCGTTCCTGTACCCTCTGGATGGATGGATGGATGGAATTTTATACTACCCAACACATTTTAATGCTAATGTACAGAATAAGCTTGAAACAAACTTGAATGGAGGATAGAGACAAACCTGCTTTGTTACCTCTGCTCATTGAATGTTTAACTTTCCTGGAATGGTCTTGTTTAGGTAGACTCGTAGGCTCTTAAGCTAACAAAAAGTCTTTAGCCTTCAGATAAACAACACACCTTCATATTCAAAGAAAGGCTTCACAGCTTTCAGAATTATTTTCTACTACTGTGCTATGTGTCTGGATAGATGGATACCATACTATATCATACCAGTTTATTTGTAACAGCGCATCTCAACAAAGCATGAAGCATGAGAGCTGACCAAAGCACCTTAGAAAGCCATAAAAAACTGTATTAAAACTGTTCAATAAATTATTCAGTCAAATCAAGAAGTAAAAACAAGGCACACCAGCAGAGGTGGTCCTAGACCGTTTGGTGCCCTAGGCAAGCTCAGGCAGTACAGAAATTTGTGATATCTGGGTTGTAAAATCAGTCTTACTGTAAGGTTTAACAAGCTATCAAGATATATATATATATATATATATATATATATATATATATATATATATATATATATATACATATATATATATATATATATATATGTATATATATGTATATATATATACATATATATACATATATATATATATATATATATATATATATATATACATATATGTATATATATATACATATATATATATATATATTTTTTTTTAGGGGTGGGCCGTTATCGGCGTTAACGCGCTGCGGCAAAGCCAGACTCTTATCGCGCGATAAAAAAAATGACGCCGTTAATCTATTCTCAAAGTTGGGTTGGGATCTGGGTCTATACTAAGTAAACTATGATGACTTTCACATTGCGCGGATGGATACCTGGTTGGCGCGGATGTGTACTCAGCGCGGATCATCGTACGCATGGACGGACGCCTGGCTCGCGGAGTTTAATGTTCCCCATGCAGCCGAACAGTCGCACCGTCGCCACCAGCAGCGCTTCTCCCATCTCATCGCGCGGGACAAGTAAATAATTTATGTACTTTAACCAGAGTTTAATCCATAAATCCGACTTTCATTCTTTTTATTTTGTTTTGTTTACCTCCGACATTTCCAGCCGGGCTTTCCCCGGGCCACACTTCACCGTCCGCGGCCGAAGCAGCGCTCGGATGTGAGAAAACCGAGACAAGACTTTCTCAGACAGGTACGGTTTCCAACTAAGTTTAGCTCTTTTAGCAGCTGTTTATTGTGATAAAGTGTTTCTACAGGTCGTTGTTCATGTGGCTTCGACTCAAATTTACCTGTAATAATAAACGTTTTACTCATAAATTCTTATATTTCCATGCTTTTCGTTCTTTTTTAAACACAGAAACAGTTTTGTTTACCTGTTTGTAGCTACGGTTTCGCCGACAGCTGCCGGCTTCTTCAGGCTGACGCTGATGGTGGCGCGTCACTTCCTTCTCCGTTTATCTGCGGGCAGCAGAGGACGTTGTCGCCCGCTACTGCCCGCTCTCCCCTCTCCGACGATGCAGTCCCATGCGTGGTCCAGCGTGTAAACTCCGTCGTCCCTGTTCATGGTCCCACATCCACGTCTCCTTATCTCTATTGCTTCCTTGATCCATCTTTTGTATTTTTGTTGTTCAGTGGTTATGATCCGTGTGCTGTCCCAGTCCATTATATGGTTTTCTCTTAAGCAATGATCTGTTACGGCTGACTTTTTTATTGTACTTTCTGCTTCTTCTTTTGCTGCTCTTGTGTGTTTACGATTTGCCTCTTTGTCGCACTCCTTTCTGTGTTCTATTGTCCGTGTATTGAGTTGGCGTCCGGTTTCTCCTATGTATGTTTTATTGCATATTTTGCATGGGATTTCGTAGATGACTCCACATTTTTGTCCAGCTGATATTTTGTCTTTTGGGTGTACTAATCTGTTTCTAACTGTTGTGTATGGCTTTGTTGGTGTGTTTATGTTGTGTTTTTTCATTGTTGCTCTTATTTTTTCCGTTATGCCTCTGATGTATGGTAGGGTTATCACTGGTTTTGGTTCTTGTCTTTCTGGGTTTCTGGTTCTTTTTTTGGGTTGTTCTTTGCTTTCTGTTTTTGTTTGTTGTTTTCCTTTGTTTATTGCCCATGTCGGGTATCTGCAGGTCTTTAAAGCGTGTTGTACGTGTTTGTCCTCTTGTTTACGGTCTCTCTCTTCTGTTATTATGTTTGCTCGGTGATATAATGTTCTGATTACTGACATTTTGTGTATGGTGGGGTGTTCTGATGTCCATAATAAATATTGGTCTGTGTGTGTTGGTTTCCTGTATGTGTTTATGTTTAGGGTCCCGTCGGTCTGCCTGGTGATTTTCATGTCCATAAATGCTATGCTGCCTTCTGTTTCTAACTCATAAGTGAATTTTATGTTGCCCGTGTCGTCAATATTGTTTAAGTGTTGTGTTAGTGTTTCTGTTTGACCTTTTGGTATGATTTCCAGTATGTCGTCTACGTAGCGTTTCCATAGTTTTATTTTGCAGTTTGGGGGGGCGGTGGCTATGGCTTTTTGTTCCAGGTCTTCCATGAAAAACTCGCACAGGGTGGCTGATAACGGGTTACCCATGGCGAAGCCTTCCAGTTGTTTGTATATTGTGTTGTCGTATGTGAAGTAAGTGGAGTTAGCTACCAGTCCTATCAGTTGTGCTATGTCATCTGCTGTGAGGTTTGTCCTTTTATGTAAAGTTTTGTCTTGTCTGATTCTGTTAACTACTATGTCTATGGTTTTTTGGGTTGGTGTTTTCGTGAACAGAGATGTGACGTCATGTGAGATGAGTATGTCGTTGTCTTCTATTGTAATTTCCTTTAGTTCTTTTGCCAATTCTATGCTATTTTTGCAGTGTTGGTCTGTATTTCCTAATAACGGGCTGATGATTCTGCTGATATCTTTTGCCATGTTGTATGTTGGTGTACCTATGCTGTCAACTATTGGTCTAAGTGGGGTGTTTTGTTTATGTATTTTTGGTGTTCCATATATTCTTGGTGTTATGTTTGCTGTAGGAATCCAGTGTTTGTACATTTTTTCTGTTATTTTGCCTTTTTCGTGCAGTGGCTTCAGTAATTTTTTTCATGTTTTTCTTAATGTTTTCTGTTGGATCTTTTTTAAGTATTTCATATGTATTTTTGTCTTCTAGCATCTGTTTCATCTGTTGTTTATATTTTTCTCTGTCCATAACTACTGTGGTTCTTCCTTTATCTGCTGGTAGAATAATTATCTGTTCATTTTTGGATAAAGCTGTCATGGCTGATTGTTCTTCTTTTGTAATATTGCTGTGTTGAATTTGGCTGTTTTTTAATATCCCAACTACGTTATTTTTATTATTTTGTTTCTGTGTTTAAAAAAGAACGAAAAGCATGGATTTACAAAGACACAGCAAGAACACACCTAAGAAATTCTTATATTTATTTAGAAAAGTTGAGCTAGGATAACTCCCCTTGCCATTTTCAGAGGCAACAACAGCAACAGTTGGCTTCTGCTCATACAGGTGAGCTGTGGCATCATTTCCAGCTCTCGCTCCTATTCACCAGAGGCGATCCTACATGCAAACTAAAGGGGGGCATTGGAAGGGCACCCCAGAAATTTAACCCCCTCCCCAGGCCAGATAGTTTCTGTGTGTGTGTGTATGTATGTCTGTATGTATGTATGTATGTATGTATGTATGTATGTGTGTGTGTGTGTGTGTGTGTGTGTGTGTGTGTGTGTGTGTGTGTGTGTGTGTGTGTGTGTATCTACTGTATATACTTTTTTTCTTTAGCAGGCCATATTGTGTAGAAGAGAAGAACTAGTTTGTCACCAGACAATGTGAACAAGCTGGTCTGCTTGAGTGACTGGTGGAAGAAGGAGAAATAGAGCTTGGACCGATTTACCAAATGCTACTAACTGTAAATAGTTAATCATGACCTATTCTGTTGACCTACAGTGCAGAATTTGTTGAACTGAATAAACAGCTATTAAACACAAATACTTACTGATCATTATTTATTTTCACCATCAGTTATCGTAGTAAAACTGCTTTATCAGTCTGTGATGCATTACTGAAACAAGAAATACTCCTCCATTCTCAACGACTTGCTTTTATTCATTATCTAGGTAGCACACACATATGCCTTTGGCAGAATTTGAATGTGCCATTTTAATCTAGATTAATCTAGATTAATTCCAAGATTACAGT